ATCCCTTGGGGATCAAATCACGGCACCCGCGGGTCGGCAGAGGCACCGTGAGCCCCTCCAGCCTGCAAAAACCTTGGGAGAATTAATCACGTATATATACACATACATGCTTTTGCACACCAATGCCGCACTGTAGCAGTATTTTCTGCTATAGGGCAGTCGGGGGAGCAGTTAAAGTGTAACTAAACCCAGGACCCTGCATTCACTATATCTGATCTCCCACAGAACATGGATGTGCTTTTAGTTTAGTAAATATAAACTGCTAAATACATTTTCTCATCAGTACTTAGAGCAGTCTTGTGACTTCAGCTGAGCACTGGTTAAAGCTTGTAGGAGTTTTCTTCTTTCTGCTCTAGGAGGATGCAAATCCTGACCTCTGTCTGGATAGTGCTGATTGGCCCTGTGCTGATCACATGCACTCTGCCAAAAAAGAAAAAAAAACCCTCTCTAGCAATACACATTAAACGGAGCATGTGCAGAAGGGCACAGGTTCAGTCCGTCTTATCAGCGTGGACATTTGAACAAGAGGAGGGGCAGAGAAGTCAGGATCAAACAGCCTTTTTATACAATGCAGAGGATTCACCCTTTAGGTTCCACAGTGAGTATAACAAGCATGCTTTACGTCTTATACAGACTGATTTTACTGTTGCAGGTTTAGTAACACTTTACGGAACAGATAAATGCCCCAATTACCCTAGGGGAGGTCCAACAGGCTATCTGTGCTTTCCAATCTGGGAAAACACCAGGAATGGAAAGCCTATACCTACGAATTTTATAAGCAACATGGGCAAATCCTGGCACCTAAGCTCCATGATATGCTAGCTCAGGGCCTGGAGAACATCAGCCTTCCAGCTACTATGACCCAGGTAATCATTGCATTAGTGAGCACAGTGGCTAAATGGTTAGCACTTCCACCTGGTAACACTAGGGTCGTTGCTTTGAATTCCAACCATGGCACCACCTGCCTGGAGTTTCCATGTTCTCCCTGTACTTGCATGGGTTTCCTCCCACTCTCCAAAGACATGCTGGTAGGTTAATTGGATCCTGTCTAAACTGGCTCTAGTATGTGTATGTATGAATGTGAGTTAGGGACCTTAGACCCCTTGAGGGTTAGGGACCGATGTGAATGCAACATGTAAAGCGCTGCGTAAAGTGCCGGAGCTATACAAGTAACTGTAATAATTAGTCCCCAAGCCCAGAAAGGACCCAGAACTGTGTGCTTCTTATGGACTCATCTCCCTGCCTTATGCAGATGTAAAGATACTGACCAAAGTCCTTGCCAAGTGATTGAATGGCAGTTATTAGTAAGGGCACAGATATTAACCTCCAGAGACTTGTTCTGCTCCAGATGTTCATGGGATAGCTATAGGTGCACTAGAGCAGTGTTTCTCACCCTTTTTTCAGTCAAGGCACCCTTTAATATTATGGACAGTCCTAAGGCACCCCATTCTAAAATGTGAAAAACTAATCTAATAGTGTTATTATAATGCCGCAACTTCCACACATGTAGGACACCCAACATTAGAGGTGATTAATTCTTCCAAAGCAAATACTTTTTCACACTGGTACTGACTAGTTTTCCAGTGTTTCTCTTCTCCCTCAGTTTTACTCCATCACAGAGCTAATGTGGACCCAGCACTGACGGAGAGGGGCAGGGGAGGGTCAAACAAAGATGATGTGCAGGCAGCTGACATCCTCCTTATCAAGTGATGATGTCATTGGTTGTCAGAACACCGGTGGTTAGAAGGTCGTAATGATGCACAATGAAAACCTGTGATTTTGTATAACTAAAAAGGCAGGCTTGTTCCACCTACTGACTTTTATACAAGTTTTGGGCAATTTTTAGACATTTTTCCAAGGCACCCTGGTTAAGAAAGGTTGCACTAGAGGAAAAAAGGTCTCCTCATATGCCGACGATACCTTGTTATATCTCAGGGATGCAGACAACTCTTAGTGGCCTTGTCTGTTACTGGTAACTTTAGAGACTACTCAGGGATTCGCATCATCTATTCTTTTTTCCTCTTCACCCCTTAGCTGTCCCACTGGTTACAGCCAACCCAATTACAAGGGTACTTGGGTATTGAAAGTCATCTCAGTATCTCTCTAAACTTACAGCCGGCAGTGACCCTCCAGACTCAAAGAGGTGCTGTGTGGAAGTGGTTACCCTTGACCCATTTGTCATTTTAACAAGGTTAATACAACCATCTTACCCAAGTTTTTGTACTTGTTTAGACACTCCAGTACCTTTACCAAATGCATTTTTTCCATAAACTGGATAGTGTCATCATTACCTCATTTATATGGGCAGGTACTATGCCCAAAATAGCTAAAACTGCTTTGCAATTACCAATCAATGACTGTTGGAAGCCTTGCACTTCCACGCTTTATTAATATTACTATGCCGCAGTCCTAGTTACAGTCTGATGGTGGCTCTCGACATCACCAGCTAACCCTGCGGTTACTTTGGGGGGGGTGGCTTTGCTTGGCTCCTATTCTGAGTTATGCAATTTAGTCCACCCTCCAACCCCAATATTACTCTTCCTATGAAGGCAACCCTTTAGGTTTTGGCAATGGTTAGTGCTATGTAACAATGGCTGACTGTTGGTCCCCATATACCCTACTGTGGGGCAACCCATCTACCACATTTTAGATCCATTCCAGATCATGTCAAAGGGCCTAGATATTATAGCCCACATACAGGTGCTCAACTTTGATGACCTTTAAACAATCAACTGAGCCTGCCCAATTCAATGATTTTACATTTCTCCAGCTGCACCACACCCTTGGGGCTCAATTGCCCCCACCATAGCTCTGGCAGTCCATGAAGGCCTCCCAGGGTCTGCTGATGGGGATAAGCCTCTTAGCCCTCCCACTTAGCTGAACACCTCTACAGTGCAGCTCTTTTCCATTTGGCAAACTGATATTCCTACCTTGGTTGATGACAACAACTGGGAAGAGAGCATCCAGCAATATTTACCATTGATGATTTCCACAAGAGACAGATTTATCCAACATAAAAAGTTTTTTTACACCTAGTTTCTTATTCCCCTGTTCAGTTACCCAGAACATTTGCCTCCAGGGAAGTAGTTTTCCCCCCAAACATCACTGACCCAGGCACATTCATACATATGATCTGGTCATACCCACAAGTATAGGAGTTCTGAAATGCAGTGTTGATATTAATTTGATTGGGAAACTACAGGTCATTCGAGACCCTGTCCTATTACTGTCATTATGCGATACTGTTGAGGCCTCCCATCCTTAAAAAAAAAAAAAAAAAAAAAAAAAAAAAAGGATGGCCCACTGACTGTACAGCAATAGAGGGTATTGTTTTATTACAGCCCTGTCCCTTGATAAAATTGACCATCTGGAATGTAATTGTCCAGTTTATTTAAAAAATAAATATGGGCAAAAATTGGTGAGGGCATGACAGTTGACCATGTAGTGTATGTGGATTTTGCCCTTTCCAAAAGGTCACTTATTATGCTTATTCCCTTTGCTGCCTTAGTAGGCCTATCCCCCCCCCCCCTCCCTTTCCTTCTCTAACCTGCCAACTAGGCCAATAGTGGGTTAAGGATTTTTCAGCTCTCAGCCCTGTTACTGGGCAGGGTTAAGGGTACACTGTTACCACATTTTGAGTGTGTACGCATTCTTTTGCACACCTGCCGCCTCAGTTTTTGCCCAATGCTTATGGTCACACCTAGTTCAACCTCTGTATTTCAAGTGTCTAACTGCTGCTAGTTTGGAGTGGATGTACCACTGTGGTTTAATTTTGGGGAAATAAATGTTTTGTATTTTTTTTTTTTTTTTTTAATACTCATGGCAAAAATAGTGCAGGTGCATTTTCATGTGTTGCGCTGCATTAATTCAAAATTAATAAGCTGCCTTATTGCAGTACACTTCAAATGGATGGAAAAGGTTATGCCAAAAAAAAAAAAAAAAAAAATTATAGCATTCAATGGTAATGTGCCTAAAGGCATTACACAAAACCCAATCCCCCTACCCACATTGCATTGGCAGTGATCCATTAATTTGAATGTGCTACTGTGCCTGCAGTTAACACCCATGATCACGCTGCAGGCCGAGATGTGTGGGGGTGCCAATCAAAATGAATAGCAGCCCCACACATCTCGCAAGAGAAGCACATCTGCAATCAGCCCACAGGCTAGGGTGAACCTAGTCTAAAGGAGGAGTGGGTCCCAATAGCTGTGGTTTTGAGAGGGACCAGTTCCCATCTGTGTGTTTTTAAAAACTACTGGTCATCTCTGAGGTTACATAACCCAGGCCAGTAGCCAAATGTGGCCCTCTAACACAGCTAAAAGTTGCTACGAAGGTCACCCAAACCAGTCAACATGTCATGCATCTGCATTCGATTTAGAAAATCTTGGCCTTTATATCAAAATATGAGCTATAACTAAAAGGCAAAAATTTCTGTTTTGGGTGGGGTGGAGACTGATTAGAACACCTGTCAGATTGTTACTGTTGTCTGAGTCACCGTATTTGTCATGTTTACCATCATCTTTGAAAGTAAAACCCAAATTTTGGGTCCCCAATAGGAGGGGAAATCTTCCAATCAAGACACTAGTTCTGGTGACCTGGGGGATACAAGGAATTACCTTAATCTCACTTACTGTTTGGCTATGGGACAGGAAGTGAAGGGAAATCTCCACAATGGGAAAGAAATAGAAGAAAAAAAAAAAAAAAAAAAAAAAAAAAAAAAAAAACCCCAGACATTAGAAAGAAAAATAGGATGTTTAATTCATGACTTAAATCTCAACAGTAATTTGCCTTTCACTGGGAAAAGCAATTAATGTAATTGATGCTGTTACTGAGTTCCCGTTGTATATGCTGTAAGGATATCTGGTTTACTGCAAAAGACATTCCGCCAAAGCCTTTGCAATACAGATCTCTTCACAGCATATTTTGAGGGCTCCATTTCTAAAGTGTCACCTTGCTTCAATAAATTAGGGAAGCCAACTTCCAAGCTAAAAACTTTACATTCACTTGAAGCTCTTCACAAATTCCTCCCCCTTCTTAATAGAGGCCTTTAACTCTCCCATAGCTTCAGTTACAAGCTTCTCTTCATACGGAGACAATTTTCCCAAGCCAAAGTTCTTCTCAATGCCATTTTTCTGTAGAAGGAAAAAAAAAACAGTAGAAACAGATTTAAAATTCACACACAAAAAAACACCCCCACACACATACAAATTAGACATGTTAAATTTACAACAGCCTCAGCATGGCATGTAAAGCAGGAAATGTGTGCTTAAATTAGAATTCCATAATTCAACTTTATTAGTTTGCTTGGCCCAACTAAAACTACTTGAGAACAATGTGGCCACTGGATGTGCTGTAATGGACTATAGTAGCACTGGCTTCATACATTAAACGGCAACGTGTTCCTGCTGCAGTACGAGCTACTTCCTGCCTGCTGCCGGAATTATACAGTTCAGTAACAGAACTAGTTTGGGTCAGCAAGTGACATTAAAAATTCTAATTTCAACTGTAGAAAAACACAGCTCCCTCCAGCCATTTTGTTGTAGCATTTTCAAGATTCAGTGAACAGGGCCCACCATTGACCATCATCCAGCCAAGGTTCTACCAGACTCACATAAATCAATAACTATGAGCTGCTATAAATGGCTGGTTGGTGAATGGTTTTAGCTGCCAACAGTTATAGTAACCAGAGCATGAATTTAACAACTTTTAGAATATGCATACCCCCAGCAGCAGAGGAGTTGAGAAATATGGGCTTTCAGTCTCTTCAGATCTAACAAAAGAGCATTCCACGACACCCTCCTTCCCATTCATAGCATCCAGCAGTGAAAAGACGAATCTTGCTCCAGCATAGGCCATGGACAGTGTTGCAGATCCTAGAATGAAAATGGTAAGATGAGCAATTTCTAGGTTCACAATAAGGAGGAAGCCAACATCTTTTTTTTTTTTTTACCAGTTTGCTTATTCTTTTACAGGCAAGTGCACCACACCCATATCCCTTTTTGAGGTTGAAAATCTATTTAGCCCTCAAAAAAAATAATTAACATAAAAATTAGGAAAAAAAAAAAAAAAAAAAAAAAAAAAACCAAGTTACACTTACGGTAACGTCTTTTCCAGGAGTCTTTCAGGCCAGCACTCTGAGAGACCTCGGCTCCTCCCCATCTGAGGAAACACCTCCACCTACAATAAAAAAGCTCCACTCCCCTCTGACCTCAGTTCTCCAAGCATCCTCCGGTCATCTGGGGAGACACAATGCGAGACAACATAATCACAATAAGCCATCTTCACATAACCAATATCAACAGTGGGTGGGAAACCGGTGCTGGCCTGAAAGACTCCTGGAAAAGACGTTACCCGTAAGTGTAACTTGGTTTTTCCCCTACCGTCTTTCAGGCCAGCACTCTGAGAGGATAAGCGAGTACTCACCCTTCGGGCGGGCTAACTGCTTGTAAGACCTTACGACCAAAGTCCTGCTCCTGCACCGAGACCAGGTCCAGTCTGTAATGCTTGGCAAATGTGTCATAGCTGGACCATGTTGCCGCTCTGCAAATCTGCCCTGGGGAAACCCCTGCTAACTCTGCCTGGGTAGCCGCCACAGCTCGGGTGGAATGTGCCTTGATACCCTCCGGGACCTCCAGGCCTTCTGCCTGATATGCTCCTGTAATCGCCAGCCGCAGCCAGCTGGCCAGCGTCCTTCTAGACGCCTTCTTGCCTCTTCTAGCCCCCTTGAAAAAAAACAAAAAGGGATTCGGTGCTTCTGAACTCCCTAGATTTCTTCTAGATACTGGAGAACGCACCTTCTGACATCTAAACAATGATACCTCTCCTGATCTACCCCCACCGGGTTAGGGAAAAATGAGGGAAGGACAATGTCCTGTTCCCTCTGGAAACTCCGAGCTACCTTCGGAATGAAGGACGGGTCTGGTCTGAAAACGATCCTGTCTGAAAAAATACGGAGATAGGGTGTTCTGATCGAGAGGGCCTCCATCTCACACACCCTCCTCGCCGTGGTAATCGCCACCAGAAAAGCAGTCTTAATGGTGAGCTCACCTATCGGACAGGACTCCAAGGGCTCGAACGGAGCCCTAGTCATCCCCCCGAGCACCTTGGCCAAATCCCACACTGGAAATGGTCTGGACCTCGGAGGCCTCTGCCTCACCAGAGCTTTGAAAAACCTACTCACCAACGCCTCCCTGGCCAGGGGCGTCTCCAAGAACACACTGAGGGCCGAGACCTGGCCCTTGAGCGTGCTGACAGACAATCCCTTGTCCGCTCCCGCCTGCAGGAATTCCAACACAGAAACCAAACTATGGGTTGCCACAGCTGTCCGGTCACACCAGGCTGTAAAGCAACCCCAGACCCTACCATAAATGGCCTGGGTCTCCTCCTTCCTACTGGCCAGTAATGTCGCCACCACCCTAGGCGAGAACCCCTTTTCTAAGAGGAGCTGCTGCTCAGAAACCAGGCCGTTAACCGCAATCTTCCTACGCTGGGGCAAAGAACCGGCCCCTGTGTTAACAAATCCACTCTTGGAGGCAGCTCCCAGGGTGGACGAGAGGCCAAACTCTTCAGGGTCGCAAACCACGCCCGCCGCGGCCAGAAGGGAGCTATCAGGATTAACGAGGTCCCCTCTGTCCTGAATTTCCTCAGGACCAGGGGGAGCAAAGGAACCGGGGGAAAGGCGTAACAAAGCCGGTAGTCCCACCTCTGACCCTAATGCGTCCACCGCTCTGGACCCGTCCCAGCGGGATAGAGAGAAGAAATTTGGGACCCTTGTTGTTCCTTCCGGAGGCAAAAAGGTCCACATCCGGGGATCCCCACCTTCGCACAATCTCCTGAAAGACATCGGGGTTCAAGGCCCATTCCGACTCCCTGAGCCGAGTCCTGCTCAGGAAGTCTGCCTTCTGGTTCCGCTCCCCCTTTAAGTGTATCGCAGACAGGGACGCCAAATTCAGCTCTGCCCAGGACAACAGTGTCGCCGCTAAGGCCCCGAGGGCCTTGCTCCGCGTCCCTCCCTGCCTGTTTATATAAGCCACTGCCGTGGCATTGTCCGTCAGGACACGCACGTGCTGGCCCGTGACCTCCGCCTGGAAGGAGTGCAGAGCCTCCCACACTGCTCTCAATTCCTTCCAATTCGAGGATTTGTCCTTCTGCCCTAAGGACCATTCCCCCTGAGTCACCAAATTTCCCAGGTGGGCACCCCAGCCCCTGGCGCTGGCATCCGTAGTGACCTCCGCGGAAATCGGAAAGCACCACAACAGCCCCTGAGTTATATGCTGGACGATCTCCTCCACCACCATAGAGACCTTTTCACACTGGGGGGGCACCAAGACCCTGCGTTCTAGGGAGTGACCCTTCCTGTCCCAAACCCTCAGGATCCACAACTGGAGGGGACGCATATGCAGACCTGCCCACTGAACTGCCGGAATGGACGCTGTCAGCAATCCAAGTACCGACATGGCCTGTCTTATGGACATTGACCTGCTCCCCTGCAGTAATCTGACTCCGGCCTCCAACTTGGTGACTTTTTCCAAAGTCAGGCTGGTCTTTTGGTCTACCGAGTCTAGAGTGTAGCCCAAGTAAATCACCTTCTGAGAAGGCACCAGGCAGGACTTCTCCAGATTCAAAATCCACCCCAAGCTTTCCAGATGGTTCCTCACTATAACCAGGTCTTGCCGTAAGTGAGCCTCTGAATCCGCGAAGAGCAGCAAATCGTCCAGATAGGCCACCACTGAAATCCCCCTCAAGCGGATAGAAATCAGTGCCTCCGACAGAAACCTTGGTGAATACTCTTGGCGAGGAGGAAAGGCCGAATGGAAGAGCCCTGAACTGCCAGTGTCGAACCCCTTCCTCCCCCCCCACTGCCAACCTGAGGAACCTCTGAGAGGCTTCCGCCACGGGCACGTGCAGGTAGGCGTCCTTCAAGTCTATGGATGCCATGAATGCACCTGGTGGGATTAGGGACCTGATCGTAAAAATGGAATCCATGCGGAACCTCCGGTAACGCACCGACTTGTTCAAGGGTTTCAGGTTCAAAATCAGTCTGAACGCCCCAGACGGCTTTTGAACCACAAACACATGGGAATAAACTCCCTTCCCTCGCTCCGCTACCGGAACCCTGGAGATGACCCCCTGGGACTCCAGAATCTCCAAAGCGCCCACCAGAGCCGCGTCCTTCGTCGGATCCCTTGGACGGGTCGTCACCAAAAAAGTCTCGGGTGGCGGTCTCAGAAATTCCAACCGGTAACCCCTTCGGATGACATCCAAAATGAAGGGGCTGGTGACCACGGCTTCCCACTGTGGGAGGAATGCCGCCAATCTTCCCCCCACAGGAGGAACCAAGTCACCTTGGTTTTTGGGGCTGCTCAGGAGGGCGAAAAATCGCTCCCCCTCTTCCCCTACCTCTCTGTCCCGCCGACCTACCCTGACCAGGCGGTCGCAGGCTCAGCCTCTTTGCCGGGCGGGCCTTCCGTGTCCCCCCCTCCTGCATTTTCCTCTTGAGGGGGAAGGACTTTTTCCTATCAGCTGTCCGGTCCAATAATTCCTCCAACCCGGGCCGAACAGACAGTCTCCTGTGAGGGGGATGCCGCATAACCTAACTTTTGAAGTGATGTCCCCCTGCCATGTCTTTAGCCACAGCGCCCTTCTGGCTGAATTGGTCAGGGCAGCAGACCTGGCCCCCAATCTCACCGACTCTGCGGAAGCATCCGCAATATACCCCACTCCTTGCAAAAGGGTCTCAAAAGAGGCCAAGATTTTTTCCTTGGGAGAGTCTGCCACAATATGGGCCTGTAATTGCGTAAGCCAATACTCTAAGTTCCTGGCCACCACTGTCGTAGCCATGGCCGGCTTCAGGTTGTACAGGGTCGAGTCCCAGGCCTTCCTAAGGAGAGACTCTGCCCTTCTGTCCAATAAGTCTGGTAAGACCCCCATGTCCTCAAACGCTAGGTCAGTTCTCCTGGTTGTTTGGGAAAAGGCCGCGTCTAGCCTGGGGCTCTTGTTCCAGACCGCCTCCGGGTCTTCCGAAAACGGAAACCTCCTCCTCAATGCTTTTGAGAAGAACGGTTTCCTTTCCGGGTCTTGCCACTCCTTCTTAATCGTGTCTACCAAAATGTCATGCACAGGAAACATTCTGTGCTGGTGCTCCTCCAATCCCTGATACATTTGGTCGTGGAGAGATAAGGCCTTAACCTCCTCCTTAATGTCCAGGGTTTCGTATATAGCCCCCAGGAGCTCATCAACCTCCTCTAGGTTCAACTTATACCGGGAGGGGCCCCTCCCTTCCTCTGAGGGACCCTCACCCGCTGATTCCTCCTCAGACTGGGAGTCCCCCACTGGTTCCTCCCCAGTCATAAGGGGTTCCCGACGACTCACCGAAGCCACCTGGGGGGGGGGGGGGGGGAAGTGTAGGTAATGGGAGGGCAAACCTCTCCATGAGGGACTTGAAGGAGTCGAAGGTGGTAGCCAACTCCTTCACTGACCTAGCTAGGTCCCCCTGTTCCGGCTTCTCCTCCCTCACCAACCCCTGTATACATGGGCCACAAAGAACCTTTCGCCAAGATTCTTTTAGAACTTCCTTACAGGAAGGGCATCTCCGCTTGGGCTCCTGGTGCCTAAGTTTAGCTCGGGCCTTGCCCTGCAAGACACAAAAGAAAAGGGGGGAGGAGGGAAGCCCAATCAGTCCGACACTAAAACCCCCCCCCCCCCCCCCCCCCCCCCCCCCCCTGCTTCCCGGCAGAGCAACAAGGGCCTGAAAAACCGCAGACCCCTTGCCCTACCTTCTGCTAGGGGCCCACAGGTAGGGGAGGCCTCCACTGAGGCACCTTACCTGCGACTGGCTGGTGCTGGCATCTCCTGGTCCCGGTGCCTCCGACATCCCGAACCGGAGGGTGGTCGCCTGGTGCAGGTCTGTCCCCCAGACCGCTGTGCACCGCACCGCCATATTCGAATTTCGCGCCGCCGTGGTGTGAAGGCCGCGACCGGAAGCGGAAGTCGCGGCCCTGGGCGAAGCCCCGCCCCTTCCGCCGGAAACCGCCGTCTCCCGACGTCCGGCCCGGCAAAGCCCTCAGACCGCCAGCATGGGAAGGAGCGGAACTCCCCCCGATCCTCCCCAGACCTCACCACGGCCACCCCGACACTCCCCCTCGCCGGAGGGGGTCGGGGGGCGAAGAGCAGGTAAGTGCCCTGTCCCGTCCCCCGGGATGCACTCTCACTGCTGGCAGCCTGCCCTGGGAGGATATGCAGCCGGACACTCCGGCCTTCACTCCCGGCTGCGTCGGGCCTCACAGCCGGCTATCCGGCCCTCGGCTCCCCTATCGTCCTCCTGCGCCTCCTCGTGTCTCTCCCACCGGGGGAAACACCTGAACTGAGGTCAGAGGGGAGTGGAGCTTTTTTATTGTAGGTGGAGGTGTTTCCTCAGATGGGGAGGAGCCGAGGTCTCTCAGAGTGCTGGCCTGAAAGACGGTAGGGGGAAAAAAAAAAAAAAAAAAAAAAAAAAAAAAAAAAAAAAAAAAAGTAGACGCATAGTCCTTTCCATTGTTGCTGCAGAATCACACAAATCAGTCATACAGTTATGCTTATGCGCTATAAAACCAGTTCATACAAGAAATCCTTGTGACACATCAGTACGTACCTGCTCCAGCTTTGGCTTTAACCACTTCTGTCCCTGCTTCTTGAATTCTAAGAACAAGGGGTTCCAACTCTTTTTGAGGAAATTCTATTTTGGGGGTAGACTAAAACAAGGAATACAAAAAAGGACCAGTTAAGCAAAAGTTCCATTTCAGCTTTACAAGTTATGTGATTTCAGTTTTCTACTGGGCAAGTCATTCGCCAGCTACTATGTTTTCTGACACACACACACCTTCTATGGGACTGATAGGTGTCAGAAGGATGTAAACATTATGGGCCTCAAAAGCAAGATATGGGGGGGGGGGGGGGGGGGGGGGGGGGGAGGAAGAAAAAAAAAAAACCCACACCACACAAACAGGCAAGTGAAAACCCCACCACACTATACTTACAAGCTCTGTGCAATGGTATTGCAGAGTGGTACCTCAGGGCTTGAAAAAGCTGCTCGCCAAATGCGAGGAGAAATTCCTCTGTGGCGAGCACAGATGAAGCATGGAGTGACTTCACCTTGCGCTCCAAGCCTCATTGTGAAGCCAAGTTCCGGTTTACAACTTCCGGTTTCTGGCTTCTGCGGCACCACCGCTGAGGGGACAGGTGCAGGAGAGGTCCGCTCTCCTCCGGAGAGGAGACACCCTCTCCACCGCCATGGGGGACTCGGAGGGACTAGCAGTAAGTACTGTAGACACCATGTCATATCACTATAATTGAGTACAGGGGAGCTAGGATATACATTACTCGGTAATGTATATCCCAGCTCCCCTGTACTCCATTATAGTGACGACATGTATACAGCAATGATTACTGTATACATGTAATCACTATAATGGATTACAGGGGAGCTGGGATATACATACTGTGTACAGATTATTTTGGACTCTTTATTCTAAAGAAAAATGTAATGTCATAAGCTTTAAGGGGGCATGGTTGGGTGGGGCAACTGGTGGAGAGTAAGGTTTGTGCCTGGCTAGGTGGTCTAGAATCGAAATTTTAAGCCCTGCCTTACCGCATATGGAGTCCCCTGCTGATGCTCTATGCGTGCGCCCTCTCAGCAAGCTGGCTGCTGGGGGGGGGGGGGGGGGGGGGGGGTACAAATGCAGGTGAGGTCTCAAGCTGGGTACTCCCTGCTACCTCCTCACAGGATTTGACGGATAGCAGAGGGAACATATTACTCCTGCTTCTCTGTGTCCTGTGAAAACAGGAAGAGAGGAGAGCAGGGCTGCCAGTGGGGACATTGCTGGATTGAGACAGGACTAAGTAAGAGGTAAGTGGTTAGGGTGGCTGTTTAGGGCAGCATACAGGCAGTAGAAGGTTTTTTAACCTGAAGGATAAAATTCACCTTTGGAACATGTTACACTCATATTTAGGGTGGAACATGTAACATGTTCCATTTCCCACGTTGCTGCTCACAATGTGACAGCGGGTGAGAGACCACCTTTCTGCACCTGTGGTCACAATTCAAAGACAGCATGGCCATGCAGGGCTGCAACCACATCATTCATTCACAGAATCCTGTGAATGAATAAATGAACTACAACTACCGTCAGCTTGTAGTTCTGCAAGGGCACTGGTGAGCACTTTGTTCATTCACATTCCTCGCAGCTTGTAAGCACTTAGCCTGTATGACGGTTCAGACTGAAAGCTGCAGGGCTTTCCTGCAGAAGTCGGAGGTTGCACCCCTGTTCACAAGTGCAAGGCTTCCTGGGTTCTTGCAGGAAAAAAAAAATGCTACACAACTTCTTCCTGCAAAAACATGCATTCATTTTTTCTTAAAAAAGGTTAACTTATCCTTTAATGTATGAACATGCAAAAAAAAATAAATATCAAAATTTAGAACCAATTTCAAAAAAGGCAACAGCTAAAACATAAAGACCAAAGAAAAGTGGAAATATTCCCCAAGGGACTTTGAATGGCAAATAAAAAAATAAATAAATAAACACAATCAGTATACAAAAAAAAACAAATTTTTATTACAAAAAATTACAATAAAAAATGAATCAAGAGATTCAGTGTGACCAGGGGTGGGATGTACGCGTCTGACACTAGGTGTCCAGGATAACTGCATCCAAACTGGGACAGTTGTGGATTGGCTCCCTAGTATTGGATCACCATTATTTATATCAGTTTTTTTTGGCACTCCTACTACTCTTGGAGACTCTTGAGGTGACTGCATGTGAGACATACAAAGGCTAGTAAGCATTTCATATTGATTTAACTTTTTACACCCTCCTCCTTTATGGGGGACCTGTTATGTTCTTAAATGGGGCCCATATATGTATTGGCGCTATCATTACCCTTTCTTTGTATTTGTTTTGCTACCTTATTTCATACCAATATATATTTTTTTAATCTCGATATGGACAACCTGCTTATTTTAGCCACACATCCTTTTTTGTGCCATAATATTCATTCTTATATACTTCTGTCACGGTTGACCTTTATTGCATTTGCCAGATCCCCTCAGTGGTTGCTGCAATGTGGTCCTTACTAGTGGACGGCTCGCTGGTGTTCCTGCAATTGACCTTTCCTTGAAATGTCATTTGGAGCATCCTTGGTTAATCCTTCAATATTGTCGGTTTTCGATCATTCAATGTGGTGCAATCTGTAAGTGTTTGAGTAACTAGCTCTGTTACACATTTTTCCAAAAAAAAAAATATAATAATAATATAAGATATGACATTGTCTACTTACTCAATATGATGTTATGTTTTAGACCTGACATTTAGTCCCTGAAGAAGGAAACATGGAATCCAACAACACATTGGATTTGTCTGAACATCACAACTGTACAAACTTCTTTGGGCCTTGAACCCACTTGCCAGTTGATGTAATACAGACTGTCAGGTTATATGCACATAGCATATGTTTAATATGTAATGCATCAATTATTTGATTTTATATACACCACTCCAAATCTCCTGATTTGTTTTATGTAAATTTTTTTGTAATAAAAACATTACTGTTTTATATATTTTTTTGTATACGGATTGTGTTTTTTGCCAAAGTCCCAGGGGAATATTTCCAGTTCTCTTTGGTTTACATATTGGGGAAAAAAAAAAAAAAAAAAAAAAATTTTGAATGGTGGGATCTTACCATATTCCTTACTTTTGTACAGCTAAACATAAAAAGATCTTTACAAAAACGCAAAGTAGAATGTATAACCCTTTGTAATGGCATAATCCCCTACAGTATGTAGAATGCGCAAGTCTAACCCTTTACTAGACAAAGGCTAGTCTTGTACCACCATACTGAAAACAGGCAGCCAGAATTATTTAACCTAGCAAGTCTCGGTGGGGGAGACAAAAAGATAAATAAAAAAAATAAAAAGACCCACAACCTTATGCACATAAAGGATGGTGTATGACAGATGCAGAAGATACCTGAGAAATCAGAGGTATAATAGTTTTGCCAGCATGTCCGCCAACTACAGGAACATTCACACGTGCTGGATCCAGACCCTGGGCGGAAAAAAAAAAATAAATATATATTATATATATAAATTTTGTTTTTTCATTCATCTTAATAGGCTATTCGCAGAGCCTAGTGACGTCATAACGCTACCCAGAAGTATCTGAACAATTGGCTTGTGAAGGAAGCCTCTTTTAAAGATTATGCACAAGAAAGCCCGCAAACAGTTTGCTGAAGACAAGCAGACTAAGGACATGGATTACTGGAACCATATCCTGTGGTATGATGAAACCAAGATAAAACGTATTTGGTTCAGATGGTGTCAATTGTGCGTGGCGGCAACCAGGTAAGGAATACAAAGACAAGTGGGTCTTGCCTACAGTCAAGCATAGTGGTGGGAGTGTCAGGGTCTGCCGGCACTGGGGAGCTACAGTTCGTTGAGGGAACCATAAATGCCAACATGTACTGTGACATACTGAAGCAGAGCATGATTCCCTCCCTTCAGAGACAGGGCTGCAGGGTTAACGGAGTGCTGTTTTACTATGAGGCTGCGTTTCATTGTAAGCACACTTTCTTGTATGGAGCTGACAGGGGAGAGATCTGTGTTTATATATGGCGGCACGGAAGCGGTTAAAAGCAGAGCTACACTGCATCTGAGCACCACAAACCAAAAAGCGCCATTTAATTTATTTTTAAAATATTCAAAGAAATCTCATTCATCCAATCTATGTCTCCTTGCTTTATTTGCTGAAAAACAAGACATTCCCTAGGGAAAATGATTCACGCAACACTTTCTGGAATCAATCTACCCTTAGCTCAGGCATGCAGACAGGAGGGTGTGCTTGGCTGAGAAAGCCCCTACTTCCCTCCTGAAATGTACATATTCATTTGCTTAGGCACAGAAGTAGGAACCAACTAAGAAATGTAAAAAACAGTTTATAAGTAAATAGACTATACATCCCTACCCATTTACTAAGGCTAGCAGCATAAGCATTGAAAATAGTCAATGTTGATTGAGTGAAATTCCACTTTTTAAGCTGGCAGGTCACCATGCCTGCCAAGTAACTAGCATGTGAAATATAAGAAGCACCCCTCACCATGTTTTAAAGCAATATGACTAAGGGTTTGTTCACGCCAGATACACTACCATGCAGAGATAAAATACATGATTTTTGGTAGGTGTAACTCACCGCAAATTAACAGAAATACGGTTCATATGCTGCATTATGGGTACAAAGACCTGAATCCATTCGGTCATTCAAGCCAATGGAAACCGGGTCCATCAAAAGCATTCCCAAATTAGTTAAACCCATATGAAGCTACCAACACACAAATAAATCAACACACAAATACACACACACACACACACACACACACACACACACACACACACACACACACACACACACACACACACTTTTTCGCTCCATAAGATGGACTTTTTTTTTCCCCCCAAAAAAAAGGGGGGGGGGGGGGGGGGAATGTCAGTGCGTCTTATGGAGCGGCCGGTCCGGTATTTCCAGCGCCGCCGTGTCAGAATACCGGGCCGGCCGCTCAGCTCTGCAGCGGGACCTTATGGAGATGACTGCTGACCTTTGGGGAGGTAGGGAGCGGGTACCTGAATTTGACAGATACCCGCTCTTACTTCCGCGGAGTTCCTCTATCCAGAGGCGCGCTGTCTTCCGTGCTTCAGTAGAGTGGGCACTGGGCTTGACAGCTGGGTGCCAAGTGCGCATGTGCAAGAAGCGGTGCTTTTTGTGAATGGTAAGGGCGGTACTTGGGACACATGACAGATCCCAGAAGCCACCGGACCAATCACAAAGCGCAAGTGCTTCTTGCTCATGCGCACTGGGCACCCGGCTGTCATGCCGAGTGCCCACACTACAGAAGCTGGGAAGACAGCGCACAGCTGGATTGAGGAACAGGTAAGATCAAAGAACAACTCCGCGGAAGAGCGGGTACCTGTCAAATTCAGGTACCCACCCCCCCCCCCCCCCCCCCCCCCAAAGGTCAGCAGTCATCTCTTGTGCTGTCCAGTCTCTGGTCATCTCTTGCACTGTGTCCACAAGTGCACACGCAACCTAAAAAAATCTGAGCTGAACTATTCTGCCAAAAAGTTTGCATACAAAAGCTTCACTTACCTTCAGCTCAGCTACAAATGTGTTGGCTCGAACAATGTCCAGGGTAGTAACACCAAAAATACGGTTAGGATTGTAAACACCATGTTTCTTGAAAACTTCAGAAGTAATAGGAATAGTTGAGTTTACCTAACAAAAAAAAAAAAAAAAAAAAAAGTCCTTTGTGAATTTCTTTATTAAACTTTTAATTTGCAAAAGCTACAATCATATAGTTAATTCTAGACAGCAGAAGGGTGCTACTCTACAGAACCCACACATGATATCAATAGATCAACCTAAAAGAAAAATATATCTTTTCTTGGCTATTGTGCAGAATCTTAAGCAAGTGTTTTTACTCTTAGCCAAGCTTTTTGCTAAAGAGTAAACTTTGATCTGCTAACATGCTGCTAGAGACACTGGCTAGTGAATTGATTTTCATAGAAGGAACTACAGGCAGTGACTCAGCACAGTTGTATACTGGGAAGGAACACGGCTCCGAAACAAATGAGAAAACCTGACCCTGGTATAAAATGTATTAAACAGTTATGTGACAACCCATGAAACAGGTTGGACAAAGACTGCTGAAAAGAGAATTTTTGTAAAGTCTATAGAAAGTAGCACACAGTGCTTCTTTTACTTGGGTAATCCAAAAGCAATCCATAAGCTAGGCAAATAACTTATCAGGACAACGGAAATCTGTCATACCATGTATACTTATCTGGGCAACAGTGAGCATATGGTGAAGAAAAAAAAAAAAAAAAAAAAAAAAAAAAAAAAAAACAATAAAAAAAGGTCACTAAAAAAAAAAAAAAAAAAAAAAAAAAAAAAAAAAAAAGGATCATTTTAAACAGGTCACTAAGGAAAGCCCACATATGGAATAAACCGCGTGACATACGTTAAACACATACAGGTGCATCCCTAAATGGATTGGTTATTAACAAAACACTGGGTATACACCTAGATTTAGAACCATTTTGGAGAGCGTATGAAATGGTTACTTCCCCCCCCCCCCCCGTTAGGTTTTAAATGTAGTTTGTGTCCCATTCAGGATATTTCCTTTCACTTTCCAGTCTTAGTAGATACAACACCAATTCTCTTGAACATGAGATGAGGTAAACTGACAATTTTTGATTTTGTGTTTTAATGTTAACATTTCCCCATTGGAAAAACGTCCCTTCTGTTCCTGGTGACAGCTTAAAAATAAATAAAACAAACAAAGCATCCAGTTTTTTTTTTAAGTTTTGTATAAAATGTTGGCTTAGATACACTTCAGTTTTGGTTAAAATGGGAAAGGATACAACCACTTTCAAATGTTATCACCATCTGTGCCCCTGCTGCAATTTCACATGTTGCAGCACCAGGACAGGAAGTGAGGATAATCCCTCCAGCAGGAAAACTAGCATTAAAACCTTCCTAAACAGCCCCCCCCTCCAAATAAAAAGGAGATTACTTCTTCCTCCCCAGAACAAAAAACACAGGAAATAAAATCACCCAAAGTGGAAAAAAAAAAAAAAAAAAAAAAAAAAAAAAAAAAAAAAAGGAAGAGGGGGGCATGCAGGTTGCCTCTGAAGCAACACACGTTTACATACCTGCTCTGAGCAACAGCTCCTCTCCTCGGGTCCCCCACTGGTGCTCTGGGCTCCTCCCCCCCACAGCAAGCCACCTTCGGGCACTTATGTGCTCCCAAGCCTCGCTTTGTTTGTCTATAAGACCCACAGAATGGGCATCGATCCCACTCCCTCCTCACTGGCCGTGACTGGAAAGCCAATGGCTCCCACTGCAGTCTCTGTGCCAATGGGGAGGCAGAGAGATGGAAAAGCAGCTACTCTTCTATTCATGTGCACACTGCTGGATCGAGCGCAGGTACGTATTAGTATAGAATACATGAAGGAAAAAACACACCAAACTTTTAGGCTTTACAACCACTTTAACACTAGTAAGATTGCCTACACAGAACTGTATTAATATTAACACTAAACTCACAGGATTGGCGATGATGCAAATCATGGCTTCTGGGCAGTGTTTAGCACAGGCATCAGTCAGTGTGGCGACAATAGATGCATTTGTATTAAACAGATCATCACGGGTCATGCCTGTCACCAAAAGAAAGAAAATAAAAATAAATAATATATTAAAGTGATATTAAAATGTTACCAAACCCAGGACCCTGCATCCACTGTATCTGGTCTCCCACAGTACACGCAACATGGGAAGTGCAATTATTTTAGTAAATATAGACTGCTAAATACCTTTTCTCATCAGCAGTTAGAAGTCACAAGACTGCTCTGTGTCCAGCCCACCACTAGCTTGTAGAAGTTTTCTTTCTGCTCTAGGAGGATGCAAAACCCCTGACCCTCTGTCTGGACACTGACTGTCCATGTACTGATCACATGCACTCTCTCCCAAAGGGAGGGAGGGGGGCGGGGGGGGGGGGGGGGGGGGGGGGGGGAGACCAAAAAAAAAAAAAACCAAAACCACACCATCTCTCTAGCAATACACCCCAAACTGAGCATGTGCAAATGCCTATGGTTCAGTCTGTCTTATCAGGAGATAAAGAGGTGAACACTTAAAAAAGGGGAGTAACAGAAGGATCAAAACAGCCTTTTTACAGAATGCAGAGGATTAACCACAAAGGATCCACAGTGAGTATAACAAACATGCTTTACTGCATATACAGGCTGATTTTACTGTTGTGGGTTTAGGAACACTTTAAACATACCACTTTGCAATTAAGATCATATTGGTCACATTTTAGAATAGATTCGTAAGAACATACCAGGTTTTCTGGGAACACCAGCAGGGATTACTACAACATCAGCACCTTTCAGGCTCTCTGGAAGTTGCTCTGTTCCAATGTATCCTGTATTAAGTGCAATATATTTGAAGTAGTTAAAAGCATGCAGAGGGACATAAAGAAAATGACATCCTATTGTAAATACTTTTTCTATACAGTGTACAGTACAGTCTGCTGTACACAAGAGTTCCACAAATTTGACTTTGCATAGTGGGGTGGGGTGAGATCACATACAGTAACCAATAGCAAGTGAATCAATATTTTGTAAGGGCAACCCAAGTCTAACATACAGGGAACAATGAAATGCATAAGAGGAATACATGGTGGCAAAGAGAAGAGATCACATACAGGCTTCAAGGCAAAAAATGCATTAACCACTTTCCGTCCAGCTCATGTACATAAACGACCAGAGCAGGTGGCCAGTTATAAACTGCCTCCACATTCACTGCCTGTGCACACGATGCCAATCAGTGATCACATGAATAGTAATAAGCAAGACGTCACTTCTGACATTGCTTACTACTTCTGAAAGCTGTGAATAATCACAGAGGTCACAAGGTACAAGGCTATTCACAATAGCCTTGTACCATATGACAAGCTGTGACCAATCACAGCTCACAGTATTTCTCAATGGCTGCAAGAATGCAGCCAGAGAGAAGGAGAAAGGATTGATTTTACACCCATAAAGGCTGTAAAAGCAATCAGTGTTAAAAAAAAAAAAAAAAATCTTCCATCACCCCCCACAAGTAGTACAGTGTCACTATGGTAACACTGTATTGCTAGGGTGACAGTATGTTAAAAAAATTTTACTAAAAAGATAGAATACATTTTGGGCAAGATTTATGAAGAAAGATTTTTTATTTGCAACATTATAAGAAAAAAAACACTTTTTTCAAAAGGTTTGGACTTTTTCATTTATATAGCAAAAAAATAAAAATCCCAGTGGTGAATAAATACCACCAAAATAAAGTTTCATCTGTCGCAAACAAATGCTAAAAAAAATTCATATGGGTACAGTGTTGCATGACTGCGCAATTATCATTCAAAGTGTGATAGCACCGAAAGCTGAAAATTGGCCTGGACAGGAAAGGGGGAGAAAGTGTCCGGACTTGAAGTGGTTAAAGGAAGGTTCCAATTCCTTGCAATATGGCAACTCAAAAGGAATACAAGACTCACTTCATAAGTGTGATTTCCTGCTTGCATGATTGGCTCACTGAATTTCTCAAACATTCTGAACTGGGAAGTGCACAGGAGGTCAAGTTACAGAAACAGAAGTTCTATTCTGAGTGAGACACCTTTCTTAAGGTTAGGTATTTCGGTATGTATGTACCCCCTCTGCTTAACAGATCAAATGGTCCTGTTGAAAAAACCACCAATTAGAGTATTCAGACAGGGTGGGGAAGTCCCTGCTATCAGAATCCAATAGCGCAGTGGTGGAGATCACATCCACATCATTTTATTTGTTCCTTCAACCCACTAGACACAGACACACACACAGACACACAAGATTGACTAGTAATGAGGGCAGCCTCCCTAAAATTCATAAAATCAGTTTGAGAGGATATAAAAACACAAAAATGACTTCAGAACAGAGGGGAGAGAATAAAAAAAAAAAAAAAAAAAAAAAAAAGGGGTTTGCCCTGTGTTTCTAGCTCACCAGGCATTTTGCTTTGTGTGTTTGCACCCTCTCACTTTTCTTCTCCAAAAAATTGGACAGAGCATGTGCCATAGCAAATTAGTAGGTTCTGCCCCAAATTAATTGCTAGAAGTAAAGAAAAATGGATATTGTTCATAACCGATTCCTTTTACCTGTCACTTTGGCTCTGGTTTCAATGTGGCTCAGATCTGCAGCGACCCCTGGTGTGTGAGCAATATCATAGAGAGAAAGGTTGCTGATTAAAGGACTGTTCTTCAGCAGCAAGGAAAGAGGTTGGCCAATGCCCCCAGAAGCTCCAAGCACTGCCACCCTGGCATTGTTCTAAGGAGATAAGAAAACATAATAATATACTACTCAAACAGCGAAGATAAAAGTAATAAAAACTACCATGACCAATACTACACATTTAAAGTGACTCACAATGGGGAGGCGGACGGACGGGGACACACACCCCTAGGAGGTGTAGAAAAGTTTCTCAATTTTGTCGTTACAGTTCTGAATATGACTGACATTATATCTGTTTAAGGGCTCGTTCACACTTGAATTTTTTTTCCAACTCTATAGCGCTTGAAAAGCGTTGGTCCAGTGTTTGTGGAGCGGTTTTAACACTCCACAAACACCCATGCGCGATTTAGCGGCGGTTGCCAAGCATTAAAAACGCCCCACAAACGCCTATAATGAAGTTTGAATGGTATTAACGCCCTGCAAATGCGTCACAACCGCACACGCCAGCCGTTTGCGGAGTGGCACCATAGACTTGAATAGGAGGCTTCAACTCCTCCTGACTGGACCAGAGGTGTCAGTTTTGTCGCAACGCTAACACTCCCGTTTGAACAGCACTATGTGCTGCAATGTGCAGAATTTTCCAAGGCGTCTGGAAAACGGTAAACACGCTTCCCAAATGCCTGTCTGCTGCTTGCTAACAAGGCTAGTGTGAATGCAGCCCAATAGTGGCCATACAGGCTTTGATACATTTTTGAATTTCTTTTCCAATTGATCTTTTCCAAGAGGAATGGTCTAATTATAGTCAACATGTGCCACCCAAGAAGTGGATTTTGATCTATATTTGGTAGATGCTGATCGATCCAAATAGGTTCGAATTCATGAACAAAGCATCTTAGCGTTGCTTGCTGAAGCAACAAGATCAATACCTTTTCCACCCTAGCTGATAGACTCAATAGTGATACCAATCTAAAAAGAGTCTGAATAGATCAGAAGGAAAATTAAACCTATTCAATTGGAGATTTCACATCTGGCCACCATAAAGGTCAGATCATTTGTCATACCAAAGCACACCGTATCCACACCTACTTTTCCTGACTATCACCAATTGGCTTCAAGAGACTACACGATTCATAAATTCATGTGACCGGGATCAATGACCACACAATGAATGCTGCCATATCCGTTTTTGCAGCAATACAGTGTTCTGACTGCCATGATGAAAACAAACGTGAGGCCAGAGTGTAACCACAAGGTTGCCAGTATACTACAGTTTCACACTTTTGTAAGGGCCCAAAAACTTTCCAAAAGTAGACATTGTACAGCTTAGCTAAAATGAACCTTTTGTACACATTTTATTAATACTGACTTCACAAAGCTTTAGCACAAGAATTGACATTTAGGTGGATGTATGAAAATTGACTTGGCTGAAAATACTCTTTTTGGAGCCTTTTACCCAAAGCAACTCCAAAATGCCCCAGTTAAAATCATTCTAGTACCATATCTAAAAAAGGACAGGAAGAATCTGATTGACTTTGACAAGAGAACAAGATTTCTGCCCTGCCCTTGTGCAGATAAGAGCTTGGGGCCTGTTATGTAAAATACAGGCATGTTTCCGCACCCAGGAGCCATGGGTGCTGTGTACAGCTGGCCAAAGAAATCAATGCATGCCCCAGTACGTATGTAAACATGCACAGGTGTACAGACACTCTTGGATTCTGTCCAGAAAAAAAAAGAAAAAACCCACTTATCAACCCTACCATCATTATTTACCATGCCACTGCACAGTCAATCAACTTTTCCTCAATATAAAAGAAAGCTGACCACTAGAGGCATTATTTGAAAAACATCAAAACGGTAAGCCAGGTGGGGCTTTACCAATGTTCTATGCAGGAAGAAGTGGATGAAGCAATTCTCACTACCCAACAAATAGGAAAGCTATACCCTTGCACGATTCAGAGAACAGATTTCCCATTTAGTATTTGACCACATGAACAATTCACTACAGATAACTACTGACAAAGATTTTAAAAAAACCCTGTTATTTAACAAGGATTAATAAATATATTGATCACTGAACAGGAACAGATCTCAGTGTGGGCAAACTAGGCAGACACTTATAGACCTAACAGGACGACAGGCTTTCCTGATGGCAAGCTGTGAAACTTCTAGCTTATGAAAGGTGATCTTCCACAGAACAGGAGTCATGCAGCATTCTTGGAAAAATGCCCATCTGTAGGCACGACAGGGTATTTTCCCATACCCCATCACACTAACTTGACGCTGCCATTTTCAGTACAACATAGATAAAGCTAGTCCTGAACCGAAATGAAAAAATTCTTGTGCCGAAAACAAAAATTCAAAATGCAATTTGCCAAAAACCCAAATGTGCAGTTTTTAAAAATGAATATATATTTTTTGTAAAAAAAAAAAAAAACCCCACAAATATATACCCCAATGTTTTTGTAAAATATGAAAGAGGATGTTATGGCAAGTAAATAGAAACCCAACATGTCACACTTTAAAATTACGCACGCTCGTAGAATGGCGTGCAACTGCGGTACTTAAAAATCTCCATGGGTGAGGTTTTAAAAACTTCTACAGGTTAGTAGTGTAACATTACAGAGGAGGTCTAGTGTGAGAATTATTGCTCTGACATTCGTGGCGATATCTCACGTGTGTGGTTTAAACACCGTTTATATATGTGGACATGGCCTACGTATGTGTTCACCACTACGTGCGAGGGGGGGGGAAAGAGAACTTTAAAAAAAGTTTTTTTTTTTTTTTTAAAAATAAGGGACAGTGCAAAAAACATTAACTACACTTAAAAAAAAAAAAAAAAAAAAAAAAAAAGTTTAAAGTGTAGGTAATGTTTTTTGCACTGTCCCCTTTTTAAAAAAAAAAAAAAAAAAAAAAGTTTAACCACATCACAACAAATGCTGCATCCCTTGTGATATAAATAATTAGTGACAGGTCCTATTTATGGAGAGATATGGGGTCAATAAGACTCCACATCTCTCCGCTGCAATGTAAAGCATTAGATCAAAAAAGCATTGATCTAGTGCTGAGAAAAAAAAAAAAAAAAAAATATGACTGGAACCGAAAGTGACATCGCTCCAGTCCTCCAAGGGCATAGAGATGAGTGGAGGCCATCTTTCCTTCACTAATCTATGCCCAGCGCCGGGACCGTTCAATGGTTTCTCAGGCAAGGCTGAGAACTACCGAGCAGCGGCCGGTGGCGGAGTTTTCTCGGTACCTGTATTGGTGCTATTTTTCAAATAGGCCGAAAGGGGTGTTTTCAGCTGAAACGTTTCGGCCACCGAAATTTTGGTGCATCCCTAGATAAAGCATTTGGGGGTTTTTTTTTTATAAATAAAATCTTGTATGTGGTACACGGATATGGCTGTGCCGCTCAGAAAAGAAAGCACAGGCAAATGATACTAAATGGCATCGTACAAAAAGTTACGTTTTATACTGACACTAGTTGATCCAACACAAGCATAACTAGTACTTTTCGAAGTTTTACTAGCTTCATTTTGTGTGACATAATGAATTCAGTCACTGTTACTCTCTCTTCCCTGGTGATAGGGAACAGAAAAATGATGGGAAATCCAATTCAGGATGACAAGTTTCTCAATGTGGGAACAGTTTCAAGGGCAACCAAGAGGACTCTACACTTTAGAGCAATACCCTCTAGCTTCCAGTACAGTCTTCAGAGCTGGACACAAAGAATCTCCCCAATAGGACCTCTTAAAGCCCAAAAATCAGGAAAATCACAACCCAAAAAAATAAAAATACCTTTAGAATGGGGATTTGGGGGGGGGGGTGCAAGGGTTAAGTCAGTAGAGCAGTAAGGTGCAATACCTTATTTCTCACTCCATGTGTCTCCCTCCATCTGTAGAACCAGCTCCTAGACGTGCTGAGGTCATCAAGGACAAGGAAAGGCCATTAGTCCTGCACTGTACGGAAGGAAGGGGCTCCCTCGACCAGGAAGCATGAGAAAGGAGAGCACCAATACCTGGTTGGAAGTCACTACCATAAATGGAGGAAGGAAGTTGTGGCACCCTCACCATCCCCCTTTGACTTTAACCCATGACCCTCAATGCCCCAATCACATTAGGTTCTGCCAACTCGAGAAAAACCACCTAAGGAAACAAACAGATCCATGCAGAAGTATGCATGCAGGAGTTACAAGAGCTACTGGAGGGCTCGCTGCAGGTGGAGGAGCCATCCTTCAAGTGAACCAACCAGACGATGACGTCATGAGAGGGGGGGGGGGGGGGGGGGGAGGTGATTAGACATTAGATACACTAAGGGCTCTTACACATGCTTTGGTCTCTGAAGTTTGCACTTCAGAGAACACTTGACGGTTGGTGAGAAGGCGTACAGCTTCCTTACTGCCTGCTTTAACCCCTCAATCGCCATGCTACCACAGGGCAGCCCCATAATACTGTGGCTAAAAGGGGAGCACGGGGAAGCAGCGCAAGTGCAGGATTTTTTTTCACCTTTCAACTGCTATTGAATGAGCGCTAACTCTTCCACATGGAGAACATGGAACAAGTGATACTTGTCTGATTTTTTTTTTTTGTCATTTGGAGTCAAACCCTAATAATCGCTTCCCCCCTTATTTTCTGATTGGTCCTGCATTTGAACATAGGGAAGTATAGGTCAGGATGCTTACTGGTTCCAGCAAAAGCTTCTCTAAGTTCCCATAACACAACAATGACACATCACAGGTCTCAGAAGACTGCAACCCATTCACAAAGTGCAGCAGGCATCGCACATGTGCAGTGGGAGATCAGCTGTGAAGCCAAAAGGCTTAGTTAAGATGGCAGCGCCAGCAGCTTATAGCCGACTGAAGAATCAGCTCAGGGTGAGGACGCTGCTGCATCCCTGGACAGGTAAAGTGCCCCAATATTAAAAGTTAGCAGCTACAGTATCTGCAGCTGCTGGCTTAATTTTTATTTTTTTTGGGGGGAAGGGGGGGGGGGGTTTAGAACTCTGCTTTAAGAGTTCCATAGGATTGAATGGCCATGTTTTTTTTTTTTTTAAATGCAAAAAGGAAAGAAAACAGATCAGTGTGATGGCAGCCTAAAGGATTGTGTATGGATGTCCTCACTTCCTGTTTCAGGAAGTAAAGGGAAATCTTCACAATGAGACACAGAAGGCAAAGAAAAAAAAAACCCAAACACACACATGGTCCTATAAGCTTCCCTTAGGCCAATTTACACTATAGAAACGCAGTATAGATGCGTTTGCACATGTGCGTTTGACTAGTTCCAGTTAATTTTTACCCTCTGTCTTCAATCTAAATAAATACATGTGTGTTCCAGTACGGTTTTGATGCATTTTACTGCATTCCAGTACAGTTCTGTGCAGGAAAAAAAAATGCAGCCTTATTTCTGCAACCAGAACACACTGAAACTGCAAGCACTGACATGAACGATGACATTGACAACCATATCACCTACTTTCTGTGCGTTTTGGATGAAGAAAAAAAAAAAAAAAAAAAAAAAAAAAAAAAAAGACTGAAAAAAAAAAAAAAAAAAAAAAAAACACATATAGAGTGAACTGGCCCTTACTCTATCCACAATGAAAAAGATTTGCTTTTAGGTCTAGTGAAATGTCACAGCTTTGGTTCTATAGACTTCAATGGAGACACTGTAGAAAAGCATGTAGTGCGGTTTTTTTTTTGCTTTTTAACCGCTTCGTGCTGGCCAAATGCGAATGTGCGGCCTCTTGGCATCTGGGCCTAGATGCTGAGCGGCCGCACATTTGTGTTCTATAAAAAAAAAAAAAAAATCATGTGCTGAGAGCGCGTGCCCTGCCCGCTCCCACCACACGTTTGGTACTCACGAAAAGGTCCCGATCTCCTCTTTCGATCGCGACCTTTCCCGATCATGTGACCGCATGTCACAGCAGTCACATGATCCTAAACCGCACCTCCCGGCTTCTGAAACCCTTAAAGGGCCAGGAGGCAACGGCACCAAGGGGTTAATCTGCCTAACAAATAAATAAAAAAAAAAAAAAAAAAAAAAAAAAAAAAAAAAAAAAAAAACCCACATCAAAAACACACTGCAGAAGCAGGTCAAACACAAAGTGCATAGGTGTGAACCTAAACTGTGCTGACAGAAACATGGAGGGTGTTACGAAAAATGCTAGCTGCCTGGCTGTCATGCAGAGGTAATTGCTTGATTTTTCTGAGCTGGGTTTCCTGGGACAAGGCTGGAGATGAAGCCTCTTGCTGGATGCATGGCCCAGTCAGGTTTTCTATAGGACCACACAGAGACGAATACGCCGTTCCCGTGCAGTAATATAACACACGGCCCGGTCGGGTTTTCTATAGGACCATACAGAGACGAATACGCCGTTCCCGTGCAGTAATATAACACACGGCCCGGTCGGGTTTTCTATAGGACCATACAGAGACGAATACGCCGTTCCGTGCAGTAATATAACGCACGGGCCCGGTCGGGGTTTTTATAGGACCATACAGAGACGAATACGCCGTTCCCCTGCAGTAATATAACGCAGGGCCCAGTCGCATTTTCTATAGGACCATACAGAGACGAATACGTCGTTCCCGTGTAGTAATATAACGCAGGGCCCAGTCGCATTTTCTATAGGACCATACAGAGACGAATACGCCGTTCCCGTGCAGTAATATAACGCAGGGCCCAGTCGCATTTTCTATAGGACCATACAGAGACGAATACGCCGTTCCCGTGCAGTAATATAACACACGGCCCAGTCGCATTTTCTATAGACCCATACAGAGACGAATACGCCATTCCCGTGCAGTAATATAACACACGGCCCGGTCGGGTTTTCTATAGGACCATACAGAGACGAATACGCCATTCCCCTGCAGTAATATAACGCAGGGTCCAGTCGCATTTTCTATAGGACCATACAGAGACGAATACGCCGTTCCCCTGCAGTAATATAACGCAGGGCCCAGTCGCATTTTCTATAGGATCGTACAGAGATGAATCCGCTGTCCCCGTGCAGTAATATAACGCAGGGCCCGGTCGTGGTTTCTATAGGACCGTACAGAGACGAATACCTTGTTCCCGTGCAGTAATATAATGCACGGCCCGGTCGGGTTTTCTATAGGACCGTACAGAGACGAATACACCTTTCCCCTGCAGTAATATATGCACGGCCCGGTCGGGTTTTCTATAGGACCGTACAGAGACGAATACACCGTTCCCCTGCAGTAATATAATGCACGGCCCGGTCGGGTTTTCTATAGGACCATACAGAGACGAATACGCCGTTCCCGTGCAGTAATATAACACACGGCCCGGTCGTGTTTTCTATAGGACCATACAGAGACGAATACGCCGTTCCCCTGCAGTAATATAACGCAGGGCCCAGTCGCATTTTCTATAGGACCATACAGAGACGAATACGCCGTTCCCGTGCAGTAATATAACGCAGGGCCCAGTCGCATTTTCTATAGGACCATACAGAGACGAATACGCCGTTCCCCTGCAGTAATATAACGCAGGGCCCAGTCGCATTTTCTATAGGACCATACAGAGACGAATACGCCGTTCCCGTGCAGTAATATAACGCAGGGCCCAGTCGCATTTTCTATAGGACCATACAGAGACGAATACGCCGTTCCCGTGCAGTAATATAACGCAGGGCCCAGTCGCATTTTCTATAGGATCGTACAGAGATGAATCCGCTGTCCCCGTGCAGTAATATAACGCAGGGCCCGGTCGTGGTTTCTATAGGACCATACAGAGACGAATACCTTGTTTCCCTGCAGTAATATAATGCACGGCCCGGTCGGGTTTTCTATAGGACCGTACAGAGACGAATACACCGTTCCCCATGCAGTAATATAATAAATGGAACCTCGTGGATGCTTGGCTTTGCACGTGCAGGGAATGCAGCAGCCCTGACTCTCCTATGGCCGGTCATGGACAAGCCTGAGATTACTATTGGTAGTATGTGAAGGTAGGACGAGCAGCCAGCAAGCCTTCCCTGTGCTCGGCACTACCCCGGCCCCAAGCCCCCTCCACCCGCCTCACGTCCCCGGACAGACACCTGAGCGCTGGTAGACAGTCCCCGGACGAGGCCGCAGGCGGCGGGTCTGGCGATACGGGAGAACATTTCGGATGACGGGCTCACACACTACACAAGCCTTGCGGTGACTCCAACGACCTCCAGCAGCACAGATAGAGCCAATGCGACGGGGCGGAGCTTCCTGGAGCGTCAGACGTCTGCCGTGACCTTCCTCCGTCAGGGATAAAGGCCGGCTCCGCACATGCGCACGGCCTCAGAGCTGATTGGTGACGGGCTTTCTAATTTGGACGGGTTGTAGAATTAATGATGTTGGTTACTGCGATCCTTGTGTTCTATCACCAGTTCTTTTCTGAGCAGGGAGCCTATGATGGCTGCACAATCAGCTGTGGTTACGTGTTAGTGAAATCTGCCCTGTTTAGTACATCGGGTTCTATTTTGGAATCGCTCTGTATATAGAAGACAGACGTATGACGTGTAGTAGGGTGTAATAGCTAGTGATGAGCACAGGGGGCGGAGTAGAGGAGAATGGGTCTCCATGGATACCAGTAGAGCGTCCCTAGTAACAGGGCAGGCAGCCCGGCCTTGGTGGTGTCTGTCTTTCGGAGCCTGTCACCTACACTAGTAAGTACGCTCCACCATCACATCCACGTTCCCTGTCTGTGTCACAGACATCAGGACATAGATCCACTGTATACAGCACTCATCCTACACAACACTCATCTACACTCAGGGTGTCTCTCAGTTTGATCTGCCCAACATATGTCCACAGTCATGAGCAGGGGAACTGACTGACCATTGGGGAACTCGGGCACTGCCCAAGGGCCCGGGGTCAGTAGGGGGCCCCATGAGATGTCCCTGGTACTTTTCATAGGGTTTTTTGGGTGTGATTTGAGTGTGGGCGAGGACACAGGGGCCCCATGATCCCCTATTGCCCAGGGGCCCCATGAGTTGTCAGTTCGCCCCTGGTCATGAGCCATGAGCTTTTCTAGCCCCCCCCCCCCCACACCTCTCTAATGAAAATAGTAAATCAGGCAGCTTGTAAGGCCTCTTTCAGTTGTTCTGCAACTTGCATTTTATATAGCAATTCAATTGTCTATTGTGATTAACCTTGTACAATCTATTTATAGATACTGGGCTCAACTGTGCAATCTATTTTTAGATCCTAGGCTCAGCTGTCCGATCTACTTTTAAATTCTAGCCTCAACTGTTTGATCTATTTTTACATTCTGGCCTCAACTGTTTGATCTATTTAAAATCCTGAGTTCAACTGTTCAATCTATTTTTAGATCCCAGGTTCAACTGTTCAATCTATTTTTAGATCCTAGGTGGGTTGAATAGTTGGATTTGTTTTTAGATCCTGGTCTCAAGTGTTCAATCTATTTTCAGATCCTGGGCTCAAGTGTTCAATCTATTTTTAGATTCTAGGCCCAACTGTTCAATCTATTTTTAAATCCTGGGCTCAACTGTTTGATCTGTTTTTAGATCCTGTGTTCAACTGTTCGATCTATTCTTAAATTCTTGACTCAACTGTTTGATCTATTTTTAGATCCTGGGTTCAACAGTTCAATCAATTTTTAAATCCGGGGCTCAACTGTTGATTGATTTTTGGATCCTGGACTCAACGTTTCGATCTGTTTTTTGGATCCTGGACTCAACTGTTCAATCTTTTTTTTTCATCCTGGGTTCAACTGTTTGATCAATTTTTAAATCATGGGCTCAACTAACTGTTCAATCTAATTTTAGATCCTGGGCTCAACTGTTCAATCAATTTTTAAATCCTGGGTTCAACTGCTTGATCTGTTTTTAGATCCTAAGCTCAACTGTTCAATCTATTTTTAGATCCTAGGCTGAACTGTTCAATCTATTTTTTCATCCAGGGCTCAGCTGTTTGATCTATTTTTAAATCCTGGGCTCAACTGTTTGATCTATTTTTAGATCCTGAGCTCAACAGTTTGATCTATTTTTAGAACATTTAGAACATTGTTTGAAACTAGGCTCAACTGTTTGATCTATTTTTACATCCTGAGCTCAACAGTTTAATCTATTTTTAGAACATGGGTTCAACAGTTCAGTCTATTTTTAAATCCTGGGCTCAACTGTTTAATCTATTTTTAGATCCTACGTTCAACTGTTCGATCTATTTTTAGATCCTAGGCCAAACTGTTCGATCTGTTTTTTCATCCTGGGCTCAACTGTTTGATATATTTTTAAATCTTGGGCTCAACTGTTCGATTTATTTTTAGATCCTGAGCTCAACTCTTTGATCTATTTTTTGATCTTAGGCTCAACTGTTTGATCTATTTTTACATCCTGAGCACAACAGCTTGATCTATTTTTAGAATATGGGTTCAACAGTTTGATCTATTTTTAAATCCTGGGCTCAATTGTTTAATCTATTTTTAGATCCTGGGCTCAACAGTTCAATCTATTTTCACATCCTGGGCATAGGGAAAGGAGAGATGAGTAGTCTACAAATGAAGATAGCATTGTTTTATTCTCCCAGTTCAGCTCACAGAAAATGACAAGGGCACAGAATTTCTGGCAAGTTCAACTGTTTGATCTATGTTTAATTGCTGGGCTCAACAGTATGATCTATTTTTAGATCCTGGGCTCAACAGTTCGATCTATTTTTAGATTATGGGTTCAACTGTTTGGTCTATTTTTAGATTCTGGGCTCAACAGTTCGATCTATTTTTAGATCCTGGGGTCAATTGTTTAATCTATTTTTAAGTGCTGGACTCAACTGGTCAATCCATTTTTAGATCCTGGGCTCAGCTGTTCAATCTATGCTTAGATGGCAGGCTCAAACATTCAATCTATTTTTTGATGCTGGGCTCAACTGTTCAGTTTAGACAGAGAGTTGTGATACATCGCTCCTGGACACTGTCAACTATTTTTTTCAAAATGCACAAAACCATTTGTTTTGTAATAATTGCTGAAGGGGGCTATAGGAATGCACTGTCTGCATTTAGCTGCGGTAAGTTCCTCTATCTGCAGATAAAAGCTGAATTGTAATCAACCGTGTCAATCTTTGTTTTCTTCAAGCAATGCAGGCAGTGCTGCAGAACAGTGAACTTATGTTGTGGCCAGTGGAAGGAACCACATTAGGCAGCAAGTGACACAGTTCCCGACACACCCAGAAGTCTTTAAAAGCAGCATTGAGATCTTTTGAAGAAGAGAACGAGAAAAAGAGAATTATTAGGGCTTGTGTAAATGCTGTAAAATACTGGCTTTTACAAGTCAATTGCAATACATCTCAAATGCATGTGTTCTAGCACAAAAGGGAGTGTTTGACCTGCTTTGCCCACAATGTGAAAACATCACCACTATTGAACATGTTTTCTCCAGAGAAATGCAATGCAAAGCAGATTAAACACAGTCTCAGAACTGCTAAACACAATGTAATGTGAATCTGCTAACCTGTGTTTTTATGTACCGTATTTTCCGGCGACTGGGTGTATAAGACGACCCCCTAATTTTACAGTTAAAACATAGGTTTTGGCCTATACTCGCTGTATAAGACTACCCCCCCACGTCCGAGGCAACACCAGTTGTTTTTTTTTTTTTTTAAATAAATTTTTATTGAATGACATTTTTCGAACATAACATACATTGATAAATGGAAGGCCAATCACAACAAGCCTGCTTGGATTGGCAAAGGTTGTAATAGACTGCCTCTCTGACTCTGGCCAATCTGAGCAGGCTTTTTACTAGAATACAGTGTATAAACATACTGTACATAATGTCCCCATTATTACATTTTAACCCACTGGATATGCTTGTAGATTCAGATACATACAGAATATAAGATCGTATTTACCTTTTGAAGCCGCTGAATGTGCTCTATAATACTGTGGCTTCGGCTACAGAACGTCCCTGTGCTGACACTGTATGAACTGCGCTGAGCCAATCACGGCAAGCGGTGTATTCATAATTCGTATGCATAAAAAGACTGCTCGGATTGGCTGAGTTAGAGAGGCGGTCTATTCAACCTTTGCCAATCCGAGCAGGCTTGCCGTGATTGGCTCAGTGCAGGACAGTGTCAGCACAGAGACGTTCTGAAGCTGAAGCTACATAGGGCTTCCAGCGGCACATCCAGCTGAAGATAAAGAAGCTACATCCAGCGGGGTAAATTATTTATTGATTAAATAAATTAATTATTGGCAGTCTTTCACTTGGGGATGTTGAAGATATGACAACAATAAAGCAAGAGCAAGCCACCAAAAATGACACTAATTGTTAATGTCATAAGCACCTCTCCGACTCACTTGTACAAGTGTGGATACATAAACCCAGGGGACAGCATACTAAACAATATGATAGTGTGACAAGAACACGCCTATCTGAAAAAGAAGGTTTCTAAAGGATCCACGCGGAGTTGAGTAGTATGAATTCAAATGAATTTAACAATACTTTATTTGATCACATAGATCATGGGGAGGTTAAACATGAGCACGGTGTACATATGAAAAAAATAAAATCATGTTTAAAAACACTTAGCGTCTTCAATTTAGGGTCATCTTAGCCAACAGAGCACCATATAAGGCAGAGTAGTGTAATGATGGAATAGTTATCCTGGATTTCAGTAGGTTTCCTGCTTAATATTTGTGTGAACCGTATATTCAGTGGGTGTGTTCCCAGTATATGTCAGGGACCTCCTGGAATGTACAAGCTGGAACACAAAAATACATGGTATGTATCTAGCAATATGGAAACCAAATCACATCCAAAATTTACCAGGCCTCCCTCCACAATAGTCAATGGATACTGCTGTTACCTTCTCAGAGGTGAGACTATCATACCCGCCTCTCAAATGTAGGGACTTCCTGGATAGCCACCCCAAATGGAACAAGGTCCACAGTACCAAATGATTCTGAGGATATACATAGAAAAAGATAATAAATGTGTAGATCATGGGCATCAGGTAACCCCGAAAACAAAACACACATAGAGATGTGGATATATTACCATCAATGAGGATCAAGAAGACTCCTGTCGACTTGAACTAAGATCAGGTCCTTGATGCTTTTCCAAAAATGCATATGGGGGGGTGAGGGACCAGGTATACACGATGCATGGATTTCAAA